AAGCTATAGTTGTAGTGGAAATGTAGAACACATAAGATGCGTGGCAAACCCAGTTACTTTTTCTAAATGGGGTAGAATTAAAATTGCCTTCTTAAGAGTAACTTTTCAAAAATTAAAAGTGGTAGTTAGGAGATGACTTATTGCATTAGACCATAACAGAAAGATCATCTTGTACTCCAAAATGCATGACACTATAAAGATTTCTGTGAAGTATTATAAGTATATTGTAGCACATTAACAATGTTAATTCTTGACAAAGCACGTGGTGTTCAAAGTGCACGTGATGCTTTGGTATGTGGGCTATTTAGTCTTCTCCATCTTTAATTTCTTCAATTGGGGTAGAAAAGCAAGCTAGCATTTATTTCCAACATACGAATCAAGGCTGAAGATGGAATTGTGAAGTAAAAGCTGACAAATAAGACAGATGCTGCTGTACTACAAAATCCTTATACAATGGAATTAGCTTGAAAAATAAAAAACTTCTCCATAATTTCCAGATTCTAGTAGATTAGAATCTAGTGGGCAAAGTAAAATGATGGGATGATTTTCATACAGTATATAGAATGTCAGTAGAGATGGGAAGAAAAGGTGAAAGGGTGATGCTACGTATCACAAGGATTTATAGCACCTACATAGCAGTGGAGGTGGTGGAGAAATACTTTAGGGAAGGGTACAAGGAATGAAAAACAAAAGTGGACTGTGGCACCTTATTGTCCATCAGGATAGGAGAAAAGCCAAAATAAAAAAATAAGGCCTACTCTTTAGTCACCTTGTATTGCAGTATGCTGTACTTGGGGAGGATAGGTAGGTAGGTGGTGGGTGGGAAATAGCCACAGACACATCATCAGATTGGTTCCTAAATTATATAGAAGGCAGCTTCATAAATCAGAAAGTAGTGACTCCCAACTGGAGAAAAAACATCCATTATCTACTTACTGTTTGGGAATCTGGATAAATATGGAATCTGGAAACCAGGAGCTACTTGACTTTAGAATAATAGAGAATGAAATCACGAAATGCACACTATGAAGATATAGCTTTCAGGTAAGCAATTTTTGGGAAGTGAAAAAATAAAGGATGCAATTCTTCAAAAGTGCCTAAGTGAATTAGGAGCACAAGTCCAGTTGACTTTCAACTTGTACTCCTGAGTCATTTAAAATCTCATCCCTAGTGAGTAAGGAGCAAATGGAGATGCTATTAAAATCTGCTGGCATGGAAAAATGCAGGTGAATCTCAAAATACACTTTTAATAGTCTACAATTCTTCAGAAAAAAGATTGTAAGCATTGAGTAGGAGGAAGAATTATTTAGAACAGTGCAGGAGTGTGTCTAAAAGTAGTGAGATGAAACTGAGCAAAGGGAAAAAGGCTAAAGTCTGTTTGAGTTAATCTCCCAAGAGATGTGGTGGAAGCCCCAACTCTCCAGTCATGTAAGACTGGACTGGACAGGACACTCCAGAATATATTGTAAGAAATAATTCTTGAATGGCACTGAGATGGAATAGTTGGTAAGTGTAGGAAGTAAGTATGTCTTCTATTCTAGGGTGGTTTTTGAAGGAGCTCTGTATTGATTGATTGAAATTTTAAAGAACACCTGGGGTTGTGGTGGTGGGGAAGTCTACCCCATTTTAATGCGGCAGTGATAATTTGGCAGTCTGCTAAAATAGCTCTGTTTTATTTATACTTTATTGATACAGCATATAATTGAGACACATGTCCCTTAAAGACAGTGTGAATAGCAGACTGCCAAATGAAACAGAGGTGGAGTCCTAATAAATGAGCAATGGGCTGTTAAATGTTGCAAAATCTCAAGAGAAAAGGAAACTGCGATAAAGTATTGGCAAAAGTGACGGGAAGAATGGGTTTCCAGTTTGAAATTAAACTGCTGCTACTCAGGGTTACAAAGAACTCTAGTCTTTTTAAAGAAGAGGATAATAGCAGAAATTGGTTGATTGTAATGCTGATTACATAATTCCAATAAGCAACGATGTTCACACAAAGTTCTTTCCTCCCCCTGCCACGCATGCCTCAGCCTTCAGTTCACACCTTAACATAATTTTTTTAACTTTCAACAAAAATAAAACCACAACTTGAAGTAATTAATTATAATAATCTCTCAAAGCTAGTCCCTTTCAACTTTCCTTATTTAGCCCTTAGCACATTGAACACTGCTGAGGTTGTTACGGTGGCACAAGATCAGCCTTTAACCATACTCAGGGCTAACTAAATTCTGATTCAGATGTGTTTATTGCCCTAAGATATTTAACAGGAAGTAACCCTCAAGTTATTGTTATATTGAAATGTGCTCTCTCAGTCTTTTCTTCCTTTTCAACCTTGCTGCCGAAGAATGATTTCCCCCATCTTATGCAGTCAGGTTTAGAATTTGTTTTGGTAGGATTTTAAAATATGCCAAAAAACCCCACTGTCAACTTGAAATCTAGTCAATTTCAAACATGAGTTAAACAGATACTGCATCTGCCCAGAATCTCTTGCCAATTACTTTGGTTTTACAGTTCTGTTATCCAATTTTTAAAAATGTTTTTCTCCCTTGTTATGTAATATATTTAGGTTGACAGAATCCTTTTTAAAATCCTCTTTCCAGTCTCCCTTTCCATGTTACTAAACTCTCCAGTGACCTTTTTTTTTTTTAAAGTGACTTGAAAAATAAGTTTAAAAGAAAAAATTGAGTGGAGAGTTTGACTCTTCTCCTTCCTCTTCCTTCCCATCTACCCTCTCCCCCCCCAAAAAATCTGTGCTGCCCTATCAAAGGAAATTCTTAGCCATACCAATACATATCCCTTTCTGATAGCTCTAGTTATTCATGTTTGGAGAAACACCGCTATCTATCTAGGTCTCTTGGGCTGTTAAGTGGTTTTACTGTAGTTAGATGATTCTGGTGCTTAAATGGAAGAGAATTGATGTTCCTCTTGTTAAAATACAATAATTAGTTTGTGGAGAGAGGCAGAAGGAAAGTGGACATAGGTGAGCACTCAAAAGGTTAAATATTAGCTCAGCGAACAACAAGAAGGATGGTCTTCTAGATTATGGCGAAGGAACAGAAGTCAGGAGATCTGGGTTTCATTCCTCACTCTATCATAAACATCTTGTGTAACTTTGGGAGAATTACTTAATCTCATTCTGCCTTCATTTCACCACTGATTAAAATGGAGATAATGCTTGCCCCACTTAACAGGATTGTGGAGACATAATTCACTAATGTTTTGTAATGTGCTTTGAGATAATCTTGGAACATGCCAAAGAAATGAAAAGTACTGTTAATGAACTCCTGATTGGAACTAGTAAATGACTTATTCAAAGGGCACGCTATCTTCTTCTACTTGACTGGAAGTTTGGAATCAGTTCTTAGTGTTTGGTGGTGGATAACTGGGATGGAGGAATGGAATGTTTCCTCAAGGCATCCTGGGGCACACAAGAAATGTATCTGTTTGTGTAAAAAAAAAAAATCCTTGTAATATATAAATATGGCCTGACTTCCCACTGAGTTGTGCAATGGGCTTTAAGCAGTATCTAGATGTGTAATTGAAAGAGATTTCAAAGTATTTGTTTTCGATAATGTGAATTTTAATTATAGCAAGCTAACTAAGAAAATATATCAAACTTGGGCTGCTGCAGCCACGTGCCCAACATAGGTACAAAATTAATTACTTGTTATATGGTACAGTGACTTTGGGAGCTACAAAACTAAAGCTTATTATTTGAAGTAAATTCCTTTTTTTGTTTTGCAGCAAATGGTCAGCAGAAACCTCAGGCCGCAGCCATGCTATGCCTCACATTAAGACTTACATGAGGCCATCTCCTGACTTCCAGAAGATTGCGTGGTTTTTAGTTACAAGGTAAATAAACTATACATTCATAATTCCTGCGAACAAAGACTGCAGACCATATTTACATGATGGAGGACTCTGTCTTGGGAAGCAATAACTCTGGAAAAAGATTTGGGGGTTGTGGTAGATAATCCGTTGAATGTGAGCTCCAAGTGCAACCCTGTGGCCAAAAAGGCTAATGCAGTCCTTGGGTTCATATACAGCGGAATCTCCAGTAGGAGTAGGGGAGTTATTTTACCTCTGTATTTGGCACGCTTCTGGAATACTCTGTTCCACAGATCAAGAATGATGTTGATAAATTGGAGAGGGTTCAGAGAAGGCCATCAAGAATGATTAAAGGATTAGAAAACATGCCTCATAGTGATGGACTCAAAGAGCTCAATCTATTTAGCTTAACAAAGAGAAAATTAAGGGGTGATTTGATTACTATAAGTCCTACATGGGGAACAAATATTTAATAATGGGTTCTTCCATCTAGCAGAGAAGGTATAACATGATCCAGTGACTGGAAGTCGAAGCTAGACAAATTCAGACTGGAAATAAGGTGTAAATTTTTAACAGCAAGAGTAATTAACCATTGGACCAACTTACCAAGAGTCATGGTGGAATCTCCAGCACTGGCAATTTTTAAATCAAGATTGGATGTTTTTTCTACAAGATAGGTTCTTGGCATTTGATGTGGGAAATTCTATAGCCTGTATTATACAGGAGGTCAGACTAGATGGTTATAATTGTCCCTTTTGGCCTTGGAATCCATATATCTATAATTAAAGTTAATATTTAATGTATGCAGATTTCATTTTTCTTGTAGGGCTAGTTCAACTATCTTTATAATCTTTTTGGTACTTAGAAAAGCAATAATATGAAAAGTTGTATGTAGAGTCCACCTTGTCTTGATCCATTTAAGGATTCTTCTGTGCATTTATGGAAGACTTTGTAGTCTCTCATAAATCTGTTCTCACTGAGTTCAGTAAAAGTTTTGCTGCTGCTATTGGGTGGAAACAGGATCCATCCCAAAGAGCAGAAATGAATGAATGAATCCCCACTCATTAAAGAAAACTACTTTGTAAGAAATTAAGTGTTTAAGTACTAAAAATCAGTAAATTGTACCTTGTGACAACTTAAGTGCATAAGAGATGCTTTGATTTTAATATATTTTTTGTGGCAAAATGTGTTTGCATAGTAAGTCATCTTAGATATTTCAAAGTACCATGTAAAAAAAGATGTCTAAAAGGGATGCTAGAAATGTTCGAAACAATCCCTTGAACAATGTATTGGCCTATATACAAGTTAATACATGGTGTACATCCATGATACTTCCATATAAACATATTTATTATTATTCATGCTTATTACAGTAATGCCAAAGGGCCAACCAAGAGTGGGACTCCATTGTGGTAGGCATTGTACAAAACCACACATTATTGGAAATATCAACTTTAACAACTCATTTTTATTGTGTTGCCGTTAATTAAATGGAAAATCACTTGCCTTAAAGAGCCACTGATGTCTCTCATGGGTAAATTTTAATCTGCATAGAAACAATTCTGCTGCAGCTGTATTTTTCTGCCTCTATCCAGACTGGTAAAAATGGCTAGGTGACTAGGATGCGCAGAGGAGCTAGTGTCTTTTCACCCTCTTCTGTAAAAGCCCAGCCTCCCCTCTCCATGAGACAGGTGTCCTGGCTTATAACAGTATGACCGACTCTAACATCCTAAATAGCGATGCAGGGCTCCTGTGATATTTAACATCAGTTGTATTGTGGTAGCATATAGAGGTCCCAATCCAGGTTGAAGACCCATTGTGCTACGCACTGTACAACCATATAACAAGAAAATTATCCCTGCCCTAAAGAACTTGGAATCTAAGATGAGATAATGGGTGGAGGCAATAAACAGATGAGGGGAGGGCTGGGGTGAACAACGTAACAAGAAGACTATTAAAAGTTATGTATTATTATTTTAATCAGAACGAGAAGCAGCTGTGAGTTAGCTTGATATCTGGGGTATGAACCATGCATGTTATGGGTCTTTGATCCATAGAATGACCAATATCCAAAGTATTGTCAGTAGAAAATGTGAAAAGAAAAATAAATTACTGTATAACTCAATGGGAGGAGAGGCAAAATGTTGTGCTGAATTTCTTGCCTTAACAGAAGCCTCCTGTTGTAATGTTTGTACAAGGTTTTGAAAATGTTAAGTGTGACAATCTATGCACTAGGCATCATCACCCAGGAACATTCTGAAATCAGCACTTGATTTTTTTTTGTGGTGGCTAGAGCTGAGGGTCTATTTTTTTCCCCTTGTGTACGTAGTTCACCTGATGAATTGCATGGAAGTCTTCCACCCAAGCTTTTATCTTTCCAGTTTGTTTCAATTACATGTATCTTCTTGAACAGATGACCCTCACAATCACAAGTAAATAATGCCTATTAAAATAAAAATAGGCTTCCCTGCTGCTCAGAACAAATTTTTGACTTATCTAGGTAAGCAAATGGTGGTATATGAGCATATGCTGAAGTTGTCAAAAATCCAAGACCTAATAATAATACTTTGCTCTTCTGTAGCATCTCCTAGCTGCATATATTGATACGATTTACAAACATTAAACTTCACAACACCCCTGGAGCTGAGTTTACAGATGGGAAAACAGATGCTAAATGACTTGTCCAAAGTCACATGAGTTAGTAGCAGAGATCAAATTTTCTAGTTCATTGTATTTAATTCTTTCATGATCTATATTCAGAGTCACTAGAAATCCTTCTGAATGTTGATCCAGTGTGGGCTTTGGAGGCTTTATTTTTATTTTTTTCTTCCTTGGATGGTGAGATGTCTGTTAAGCTCTCCCAATGGAAGTGATGAAAGCCGCAACATTTTGGACTTAAAAGCAAACTGGCCAGAGAACTACAAAATGCACTGTTGGGAACAATCCTGCACTAGCAAAGAGATGGACTAGATAGCCCTAACAGGTTTCTTCTGTTTTCTGCACCAACAACTTTCAGCTGATTTGTGCAAGAACACTAGCTGAAGAACTCTTAATCATAAAATGACAAATGGCTGTTAAGCCATGAACTCATGTAACTTCTACTCTGAGAGTTTATTATTTTTTGCCTGATGACCATGAAAAGTCAGCCATCTCATTCATAGGTAAAGGGAGGCTATTAAACTCGTGGAGTCTCTAACTGCCCTTTCTTTAAATTTCAGTGATTGTGTTGAGAAGTAGTGGTAGTTCAGGTCTGTGACAGGAAAATATTCTGAGTTCTTATTTATTTATTTAGTCATCTTTCATTAAAGGGATTGCATGAACTCACCACTCCATATGCAATAGTTTATGCAAAAAACTTATTAGCCACACTGACTCCCACTGCAGTATGTTTTGGGAGGCTTTGTGTTGCATAGTTGCCATAGCTACTGCATCACTGGGCAGCGAAAAATTCCATAGAGAAACCCTGCCCTTTGAATGAATCTCATTTTAATTGAGTAATTTAATTGTATTGGTTTTTGTTTCTCTCCAGCTGAAAATGGAATGTTGCATATTGTACAGCAATCTAGAAAGTCCCTTAGTTTTATGAATCTCAAGTGGATTATCGCTGTGTAAATAGAACCTAGGAGTGACTTTGCATTCTCTTTCAGTCCTATCAAATCTGTAGCTAGATCTAGACTCTGGTTTGCCTGTTGATTGCTCTATTGTTTCTAAATTTGTGAGTACCTCTGAATAATGGCATTAGTTTGAACCTCTCATAGTGCAATCGATGTTCTGTGTAAATTTCCCACATAGCTCTGCTATTGCAATTCAGTCCTGACATACTCCCCACCTCCTGTTCTAATCCTGGACGTCTCTGGAGGCCGCTAATCTTATTCAATTGTTTATCTTTGTGGTGTGTACAACTAGAATGAGGATGAGATCATCAAACACCTTTCTGCATGTGAGCCAGGCCTTCACTGACAAAGAGCTAGTGCACCGAAACAACTGTCCTACTGCCTACACTATATAAGAGCCAAATCCTACCCTCTGCTATAGATGTGCAATCAATTTGAAGTTAGACAGCAGTTTATTTTTTGTGCTAAGGTCCCCGTATCTATTACAGAGGTACTCTAGTCTGCTTGCAGCTTGGAGCAGAACCAGAGCTGCCTCCTGAAGTTCCCTCCAATCATTTCTGCAGCCAGCCGTGGCTGGTGCAAAGGGAAATTCCAGACTTTATTTCAGTGCTGTAGACTAACAATTCAGCTCAATGTCTAATTCCCAGCCATGTCCCAGAACTGCAGTTGGATTCTGGAGAGTGTCTCTTCAGCTCCACTTCCTCTTTGGAGGCATTTGCAGCAGTTGGTATTCCTGAAGATTTCAAGGAGCAAACGAGGCTGAGGAAAGTCAGAGGCAAAAGGAAGGGTCCTTGGGTACATCTACACTGCACCTGGGCCATGTCATTCCTAGCTCAGGTGGACGTACACATGATCGCTTTGCTTGAGCTAGAAAGCTAAAAGTAGCAACGTGGCCATGGTGGTGCAGGCAGGTACCCAGCAGATCGGGCATGACTGTACTCAAGTAGCTAAGCCAAGCCTCCACAGCCACACTGCTATTTTTAGTGCATAGGCTAGTGTAGCACTGGCATGTGTACCTCTGCCCAAGCTGGGAATTACACCTCCCAGCTTCAGTGTAGGCTCAGCTTTTCCCCTTTCCCCCCCATCAAATGTTTTGTTGGGGAGCTTGGCTGGCTGTGTGGGCAGAACACAGTTTTCCTTGCAGTCCAGTCAGGGCAAGCTCGCCTTGAGGGCAGCAGGCAGGATTGGAAAAGAACTGGCTCTGGGGAAGGCAGCTCACCTTCCCTCTATACCATGAGGGGAGTGAAGTCAGAAGGGCAGTGTGCCAAATGGAAGATCATGCCTGAGTCCCTATAGCCTGCACCAGCAGCCACATCTCAGATCACAGAACTTAGCCATTTCCTCCCCCTCCCCTTCCCTGTGGGTTGTGGATGGAAGGCACCGGACACAGCATGAACGTTGCCAGGGCCA